GATGGAATCGAGAATAAAAGTGGGCTAAAGTGATACCGAGCCAAAGTACAAGAGGGAATGAAATTTCTCCTAAAATTATATCACTAACCAATAGAGGTAGTCAAGCCACCGAAAGTAAAGTCTCGGAATAACTAAAACATGACAATCCAATATAACCATCTAATGCATAACTACCAATAGCAATATAAAGCTCATTTACCAGATTATTTGCTATTTGTCCACTCACAATTCATAACATTAACAAAGATTAATAACATGGCAGTTCAACTTCCTATTTTCATAAACAGAATGTGGAATACCAAAAGCCACGTAAAACCAAAATTAAATTATGGTTTCCAGAAAATGTATAGCTTAGTCTTGTTGGAGAAAGACTAACAACTTTGATGAGATTGGTTCATTGCACTGGCTAAACTCAAGTCATGCAACATCACCTTTGGATTAAGCAAATAAAAGAGCTGTAGGATCAATACATTTTCTTACTTTTATTATGAGTCCAAGATAATGCACATACGTTGGATTTGAGATGACAAGAAGAAGCCAATTGAAATAGAAAGATCCTTATAAACTTCACGCATAACATTCTTATAGTACAAACTATATCACAATGAATCTTACCTGCCAATACATAAATAAAGAGTTGAACGGAAAAATAAAACGTAATTGCAAATAAATTTAGTAGATAAAAGTTAAACCAATAACCCAAATGCATAAACCATTGATTTTATGAAACTGACACGTATTTTGAATTACCTGAGTATAAATAATTTTAAATCAATAATCCCCATGTAAATCAATAATCCCATGCATATGACCCATACATGTTTCATTCGGTCAATTAATTAAAATGAATAAAAAAATTAACTTAGTACATAGAAGTGAGAAAAATAGGCAAAATAACTTACGAACTTTATTAACAGAGGCTCCGTTCTTGATATAGAGGATTTATTGCTTCATTAATCTTGAAAACTCTATCAATTTCTCACAATTTAGGATTCAAACTATTACACATAGAACTGAAAACAAAAAAACAAAGAAAAAGAAGAAGACGAAAAACAAATAGAGAAGAGAAAGAAAAGATGAAAGAATTGAAATTCATATTGAACTATCGAGACCATTGAGTTTCTTTTAATTTATTGCATACCTAACATTTAGTAGATACATGAGTTCATCTTTTCCGGTGCCTTTATACATTGAACTCTCTATTAAATATCAATTATTTTCATAAACATACATTAAAAGACTAATTATAAATTAATATTAATTATTTTAATTTTGATAGGGGCATTTTGGTCATCACAAAAAAGGAAGAAACCTCCCATAACATTTGCACTTTTATAAGTAGTATAGATATAGAATAATTGGCTGCTGTTAATATTTATTTATGGGATGTGATAAACGTCGTTCGAGCTTTAATAATACCGTTTCGACTTCAAACGTGATTTTGATCATTTTTTATTCCAAATTTTGCAAAACCCGAAAAATAAGATTTGTAGTATTATGAGTTAGTTTTTTTAATCCAACTTGAATCACCAAAATTGGATGTCGGACGAGAAAGATATACATGAATGAATGGATACTACCCACAACTTTGATGTATTGAGGTATCTAAAATTCAAAATGTGACTCATTCATGCATAACTTTGTCACACGGCATCCAATCCAGTGGATTTAAGTTGAATTAGAAAACTAACCCGAATGACTACAATTTTCGTGTTTCGAATTTTGCCAAAATTAAAATATAAATATGTCAAAATCAGGTTCAAAGTCAAAACGGTATTAGTAAAATTGAAACGACATTTAACATTTCGGTTTATTTATTATTTATTTATAAATACCACATAAAATTCTGGCTAAAGGCTACAACTTTGGTTGCTTATACTAGTACCAAGTCTTGTCAGGTTACAATGACTATTTATACTTTATAGCATGGGTGTTTTATACTTTATAGCAGGGGTGTTCTAGCAAAATTCGCACTCGTCCCGTCAATCAACGGTTTTTTATTTTAAGGAACTAAATTTGTAGGTTTTGGACGGGTTTAGGATACATGGGTCCATTGCGGGTTTATGTAGAACCCAACCTTCACGGGTCGAAACCCATCGTAATTTAAAAAAGTTATTTTCCTTAATAATTTATATATTTTACGCGAAATTATTTAGAAATTAAAATTAATGACCAACTGTAAAATTTAAAATTGAAACAAACGTCAATAACATCAGCAATAAATGTCATGAGTAATTCAAAATCAATACGTTTTAACCATAAATCCAAAAAAGAGTAACTAAATTCAAACCTTTATAAGACAAGATTTAGAATAAAATAGATAACCATAGACAAAACGAGACGATGTCGTCGTTATAGATATAAGTTTTGACATGTTCATGTATTATACAATATTAATTTATTATGCAACATAATATAAACAAAACGACGTCGTTTTCTATAGTGGGGCGAACGGGTTTTACGGGTATTAATTTTTTTTGACCCCATCTTAGACCTAAACCAGCGGATCTTGTCCATTTCAAGACCCAATCCTATAGATGAATCTATCCATCCGGTCCTAGCGATGTGATTTTTTACCGGGTTTGACGAGTTCAACGGGTTGATGGATCCAATTTGCTCACCCCTAATTTATAGCCACCAAATATCAATTCAGTGCAAATACTTTTTAGATAATTTAACATTGGCAATCAAATTATTATTGGTTGCTACTTGTGTATATTTGTGACCATTTTATTGTTATGAGAATATGATGATCAATCAAATTAATTATTTATTAATGACAATTACAAAATTATTGCAACTTTTATTCATTTTGTTATTAAATTGGTCATTGTTCACATTATTTTACGGCGACTGTTTAAAGAACAAGTCGATAAACACTATATTCATTTTCACAATATATATAACTACTCGAAAGCTCGACAAACAACAATACCCATTTATCGCTATCAAATCTTGGTTGGTCTCACAAAAATAAATAAATACAAGTACCTTCACTGTTGCAACAAAATTATTGTTAGAATTTATTTCGTGCATATAATTATTTGTGCCAGATTCAGTTTTTCGTTACTGTTGCGTGATGTGTTGCAACAGTTCGTGAAACAGTTTGTAAAAACAGAAATAAACAAGACACAAATTTAATGTGGTTCGGATACAACTGTACCCTACATCCACGGGGACCTGCAAATAAAATTTACTAATTTTTAGTTTTACGAATACAATAATAGGACTTAATCAAAATACAAAGACTCCCTCTTTGTTGACGCCGTTCTTGTATACTACGCTGAATTATAAATCTTCAATTTGCAGCACGTCCCTTGCTCCGCACGGTTGAACTCCCTTCAACGCTGAATCCCTCAGTCGGCGGATCGATCTCCTCCCGAGATCTGTTTAAGCCCCTCTCCCGAAGAACCGATCTTCTTTTTGTATAGAAGAAGCAAACTTGTGATACTCCTTGAATCTTGGTGTCTTCACCACAAAGCCTTGAAGCCGGTATATTTTCTATGAAAATCACGTATCACGATGGAGCAATAAAAACGAGAGGAAAAATATTTTCTCTTGAACTTCTCTCGATGAAAAAGCTGTAGGAGCAACAAAGAAAGGAAAAATATTTTTTCTCCAAAAAAAAAACGCAACAGCAACGAGGACAAGAGAAATCTTTTTCTCTCCAGCAAGACGCCAATAAAAACGAGAGTAAAGAAAATATCCTGTGTAATTTTTTCTCTCCAAGAAGGCGTGAGATCTGAGGCGCCGTGTTGCTGTATTTATACTTCTACATGTTATAAGAATCCTACAAGGAAATATAGTCCATTAGGGTTAGGAAACTCTTAATTACGTAGGAAATAATATTTTCAATACAAGGAAACTCTTTAGAAGAATAATTCCTATTATAAATCAATTAATGACAAATTAAAAGAATTAAAAGCTACAAGGAATCTTCCCTTCTTTAGCTCACGGTATATGAAAACTTGTGGCACAAGTTTTATTAATTCTCGTACAATTAGAATCCATGGGATTCTAACAATTATTATTGGTCTCTATGTTCTATTATCGCTAAATATTTGGTTGCTAAAACTAATTTTTCTTGTAGTGACCTGAAGTTCCATTAAAGAGTGTTTCCACATGGTAGAGCCTCCTTGGAGGATATACGGTTTTCATGAGGCTAATCTTGAGCCGCCCTCCAAATACAAATACCTTCGTTTAAAAGAATGTTTTTGGTGTAGAGAGTTCCAGATTCTGGATCTTTCACGGCGCCAAATTCCTGAGAAACAAAGTCATAAGCGCGTAGGTTCATGGCCAAGCCGACTACTCCAAGAGCACTCATCCATAAACCGGTTACTTAGCTTGTACAAATAACATAAAGAAATTCAACCAACCTCTAGTAAAAAAAGCAACCCCAAAGATTTAGGACCAAAAGCGGTCAGCGGTGACCATGTAATAAGTTTCTTCAGCTTGAGTTCGGATAAAAGCACGAAATGTACGTATTTGCACCATCACCATCTTCAAATAAAGTATTTTCTTCGGTATCACCATGAATACCACATAGGAAAGCAGCCCCCAATACATCGGAAACTCCGATCATATGAAATAAGTTCAGCGTCCAATTATGAAATCCTTGAAAAAGTGACAAATGTTAGATGTGTTCACCCACAATTAATATTGTGATTTCATCATACGAATCCATTTTAATTGTGACTACCACATAAGTGTGAAAGTCGGATGGATCGGATTGCAATTACCCTTTTCAGAAAAGTTCCGAAAAAATTCGAAAGTATAAAATCAATTCCAATTTCAATTAACAAATTATCGGAATCTAAAAATTCATTCCATTTCCAAAAGGCCCGGAAATTTCGGAGTTTCGAAAAAAAATCGGAAAACACATAAGCTTTAAAATTTCGAAACCTAGCCGAAATTTTCTAAAATGTTCATAATTTTTAAAAAATAAGAACATCCACGTCGATAAAAGTAAAACTAATAACTACTAATTTCAGTTCAAAAAAAATAAATAAAAATAAACACAACATAATGACCAATAAAACTTCTAACAACAATTAATTATGTCAAAATCCTAAAACAAAACTTATACGTATACTTTTCGGAAAGTAAGTATTATATACTAGATATTATTAATAGGTGTATTTTTGGAAAAAAATCGAAATTTTTCGGAATTAATTTCAGAATTAAATCGGATCAAAAATCGGAAATTTCAAATTTATTTTATATAATCCCAATTCCAATCCAAAAAAATCGGAAAAATTAAAAAATCGGAATTTCGGAAGTCTAATGAAAAAAGTTGTTCCAAAATTGGAACTTTTCAAATTGGAACCGGCGAAAATTGGATATTCCTCTCCAACTTGCACCCCTACTACAACATTAAGGCATTGCATATTAAAATGGATAGATCACCGAAAAAAGATTATCCACGATTTTCAATAATCGTAACTCCACAAAATTTTCCTAAATATGGGAGCAAAATCTCCATTATTAAATAACATTCTATATTATACGCATGCTCCATTTAATTAATTTGATATAAAAAGACCCTTCCCTCAATCCACAAATTAAAACTGAAAACAAAAACTATAAGCAAAAAACACCAAAAAAAAAAAAAATGGCTTCCATTTTTGTTGTGACCATTCTATCACTCTCACTTCTATTCATCAATTGTGAAGCAGATTTGATAGGCACTATTTGTGCCAAATCAGTAAACCCTTCTCTATGCACCAACATTCTTCGATCCGACCCACGTGCTCGTACGGCCGATCTACGAGGTTTGGGTCAAATCTTTGTCGAGAAAGCCAAAGCCGCCACACAGGACACGATTTCCGCGGCTAAATCGGTCGGTGGGTCGGGGAAACCGGCAGCCGACACTTGTGTGAGTGTTTGTGGCGACGCGATCGATAACCTAAACCAATGCTCCGCGTACTTGAAGTCCTCGGGCAGAGCTAGAGTCGGCGATTTGCAGACGAAAGGGTCGGCGGCTCTGACAGATGTCAGCACGTGCGACGACGAGTTTGGAGATAGCGAGCCGGCTAATGTGAAGCAAGCCAGCCGCAAAGCGCAGGATATCATCGATATGCTTCTAGTGGTTGCGAATAGTTTGTGAGGGAGAGAGCAAATGTTGTTGTTTATTGTGTTTTATGCATCGGTTGGTTTGTTGACCAACAAATAATAATGTTCTTTTGAAGGGCATATGAGAGAATTTGAATAATATATTTCTATTTTTTATTTATAATTTTAAATACAACTTACACAAGGGTTCCGTAGATGCTACACACACTACCATACATTTAAAAATTATATATATATATATATATAAAATATATATGAAGTACAACACATACAATTTCAAATTTGATTTTATTCGACAAAGTTTATCAAGTATTAATTTCAATAGATTCATAAGATCCTAGAAAGATCGGCTTTCGTGATGGACAAAAACGTCACTACATCAACATCTTGTGACGCTTCGAATTTTGTGACGCTGCGCAAAATTGTCACATAGATGGCTGTTATAATAGCGTTTGACCCTAGCCGTCGTCTCCAAATCTACACTATTATGACGCCTAATTTGTCACAAATACATACATAGATTTTACTAGGGGTGGGAATGGGTTGGTTTTTATCCACCAACCGACCCATAACCGACCATATTTTTAGGCGGATAATCTGTTTTTAACCGACCCATTGGATCGGGTTGGTCAAATATTTCAACCAACCCATCTATAATTGGTCGGCTGGTGGTTTTCAATATTATCAAAAGTTGGTTGACTGTTAATTATCGGACATCCAACTATATTATTAAAATATTTTATTAAAAATATAAAATAAATGGCATGTTTTCTTAAGTGGTTATTGAAATTATCAAAATATTTAGTATTTTAAATTTAAAAAACAATCAACAAAGGAAAAAAAAAAAAATTGACCTAAATCTTCCACCTGTTTTTTTATGCCCAAGCTTAAACAAAAAACTCACAAAACTCCACTAAATTTCTTGTGCATGTTTGAAATTACTTTGAATTACCTAATTATATGTTTTCGTTAAATTGTTATTAATTATTTTGAACTGATAAATGATGATCGCACTGTGGCATTACGCAGAATGTGGATATTTTTTCTCCAAAACTTGATTTTTTTTAAGTGAACTAGGTTGCGGGTATAAACCATCAACCGGCTCATTACGGAACCAAATATTCAGTTGTCAACTATCACCGACCCACAAAGGTTGGGTTGTCAACGGTTTTCAAATTTGTGCAGAAATGGTTTGACGGATGGGTCGGTTTTTAGGCTGGTAATCGACCGACCCAACCCAGTCCCAGTCCTAGATTTTACGATGCCTATAAGTAGGGCTGGGACTGAGTTGGTTTTTATCCACCAACCGACCCATTACCGACCATATTTTTAGGCGGATAATCAATTTTTAACCGACCCATTGGATCGGGTCGAAAATTCCAACCAACCCATCTATAATGGGCCGGTTGGTGGTTTCTAATATTATCAAAAGTTGGTTGATCGATAATTATCGGTTATCCAACTATGCTATTAAAATTTTATTAAAAATATAAAATAAAGGCCGTGTTTTCTTAAGTGGTTATTGAAATTATCAAAATAATTAGTATTTTAAATTTTAAAACAATCAACAAAGGAAAAAAAAAAGACCTAAATCTTCAACCAGTTTCTTTATGCCTAAACTTAAACAAAAAGCCCACAAAACTCTACTAAATCTCTTGTGCATGTTTGAAATTACTTTGAATTTCCTAATTATATTTTTTCGTTAAATTGTTATTAATTATTTTGAACTGATAAATGATGATCGCACCGTGGCATTATGCAAAATGTGGATATTTTTACTCCAAAATTTGAATTTTTTTTAAGTGAACTAGGTGGCGGGTATAAACCATCAACTGACCCATTCCGAAACCAAATATTTGGTTGACAACCATCAACCGACCCACAAAGGTTGGGTAGGCAACGGTTTTCAAATTTGAGCAAAAATGGTTTGACGGATGAGTCGATTTTTAGGCTGGTAATCGACCGACCCAACCCAGTCCCAGCCCTGCCTATAAGCGTCATGTTATGAATTGTTTTTGTGACATTGATAGGCATTCTTTTATGTGGACATAATAACGCATCTGAGTGTCTCAAGAAATTTATAACGTGTCTTGATAACTATTTGTTGCGACGTTTTATGTCCCATTAGAAGAGTAGTACTGAAGCCTTTATTTGTCTTATAATATAATAACAATTTTATTCTCGTTTTATAAATAGTACAATGACACTTCAATGATTTCAACATATAATATAAATATATAATCCATACATAAACAAACATAAACCATTTACACAAAACTTGCATAGTAAAATTTATTCTTGAATTGAATTCATTCATTTCAATGGTTCAAAATTACAAAAAAAAAAAAAAAAAAAAAAGGTAAATTACACCTACACCCCTGAGGTATACTGAAATAAGATTCATGTGGTATCGATAATTACACTCACCATTGAAACATAGTTAGAAACTCTTTTAGGATAATGCATTGGATACATTATTCCAATAGAGTTTTAACGGATTATCAGTTTCAGGAAGTGGTGGAGACAACAAACAGCAACGGGCGATTTAAGAAAAGTTGGGGAAGCTATGTCATCCCCTAACTCTATGTTGTCTCCGCCACTAGATAAAAGTAATAGTCCATTAGAAATTTATCGAAATAACATATCCAATGTATTATCCCATTAGAGTTTCTAACTATGTTTCAGCGGGGTGGGTGTACTTATCAATACCACAAGGACATTAAAGTTATTTAAGCATACCCAGGGGTGTGGGTGTAATTTACCCAAAAAAATAGTAACAAGCATTCCAATATCTTGAACATAAAATCTTTCCATTTAATTCATCTCATGTAAAACTAACACCGGTCCTTTCTCAATTCTTGTAAAAAGAAACTTCTAAGATTTAATTACCGACAAACTACACTTGCAAGCAATCTTCAAACATGCAAAACAAAGTATGACTTGGCCATAAAACTCACTGCAAAAATGTCTTTGGTATTGTTTATGCATCCATAGTAACTTATCCATAGTAACTTATTGAAATAACCAAAGATATCAATGGAATTCAAATAAATAAATAAAATATAAATCGAAGAGCCTTTCATAAGAGATCAATACCAAGTATTAGGCCAAGCAATCTTCAATCGTACAACCTACTGTCTCTATACGTTTCCCATGACTGCAAATACTAGTAGAAAATTTGCTTATTACTACGAATTTTTTTGCCACGGTAAAAAACCGTAGTAAAATGTACAATTTACTACGGAATAATTTTGAAGTCCTAGTAAATACTAGGATTTACCGTAGCAAAAAAGTATTTGGTACGGCCATTTACCATAGCAAAACTTTTGTCACGCTTGTATATGCTACGGGACAGATTCGTAGCAAATGCGTAGCAAAAGCCTTTTTAGTACGAATTTGATATCTTTTGCTACGGTTAATGGTCATAGTAAAAAGTCATTTTTCTACTAGTGAAAATAATTATCACATTATAAATAATAAAGTCTACACGGATAATAAAAATGATAACCTATTAAGAGAATCAAATATAATAAGAAAAAATTAATAGTCATTAAAAATAAATTTCTTTTAGTAATTGAACTTCAAGGATAATAAAACGACTAGATGAACTTCAATTCATACCATCAATTCCACATCAAGGTACATTTATGCATTCTCTTGCTGAACAAAGTTTGCTTTTCTTATATACATGTTACTGCAAAATAAATAAGAATATATTACAATTTCACCTCTTTGATTTCATCTATTAAAAGTTGTTCATGTATAAACAAATAAAAATACAAACAAAGAAATTATATTAATAAAAATCCAATCGTAGAGATGAAAGTTGTTCTTCACAAGATACATTTATGAATATAATGTTAGGCAGTGTATGTGGTTCAATTTTTGAAAAGTGAGTAAACTAAAATGGCAGAAGAAGAGAAAAATTGATTGAAAGGTTTAGGAGAAAATTTAGAGGGAATTGAAGGGTTATGATAATTTTTGGTGAATATAATATTTGTTCGAGCGGGAAAATGAATCTGAATTATTTTGGTGGATATTGAGCGCTAATTCTACGTTTTTCCTTTTTATTTTTATAAAAAAAAATTTGTTGAGAAAGAATTGTACGATTAATATAACCATGTTATGATGCCCTGCAAGTGGCGTCGTTATCGTACCGTTATCTTATGGCATTTTTATTGAAAGCGTCACAAAATATATTTTTTGTTGATTGAAAAAAATGAATAAAAGTACTGCGATTATAGTTTAAGGCGTCATAATAAAAAAAATATTGACACGCGTTTCTAACGTCACATTAAGGCATTAGTAGAACGTCACAATAGCCTATTTTTCTAGTAGTGATAGTAATATAAATTTTTGGAGTAATATTAATTTTAAAAGTAATATTAGTTTTCACAGTAGCATTAATTTTGACAGTGACATTAATTTATACTTAGACATGACGACGGTTTGGTTCAGTTCGGGTTCCGGTTTCGATTTCGATTTTGGAGGAAAACAGAACCGAATCGAATATTTCTGGTTCTTTACTGTTCGGTTCCAAACCGATTCCAGTTCGGTTCCGATTCGGTTCCCGGTTCTAACCGGTAGAACCGGACGGTTCTTAGTAATATATATATTTTTTTTTTTTTTTTTTTTTTTAATATTTAACTTTAAAAAATACTTAAAAAAACTTTTAAAAAACTTCAAAAAAGGTTAATTGTTTTTTTTTAAATTAAAAGAATACTTAAAAAACTTCTTCATTGTTTTAAAAACATATTTAACGTTTTTTTTTAAATACTTCAAAAAATCATTTTTATTTAATTTGACCGTTGGAAATATTTTTCTTAAATACTTAAATACTATAATTTATATATATATATATATATATATATATATATATATATATATATATATATATATATATATATAAATTTTTTTTTTCAGAAAAACCGGTTCCACCGGTTCTAACCACGTTTCTAACTGCCGGTTCTTGGTTCAAAAAATGGGGAAGCGGAACCGAACCGGCTTTTTCGGTTCCGGTTCCGGTTCGCTTCCAAAACCGTTGACCCTGGTTCGGTTCCAGTTCCAGTTACGGTTCTAACCGAACCGGTGGTCATGTCTAATTTTTACTACAATTTTGTGG